CTGAAGCTGAAGCACCAATCTCTGGAGGAGCGTTTGGAGATCTGCCTGCTGGAGCTCCGAAAACTCTGCATCAGGGAGGCAGTAAGTGACTCCTGGATTAAAGCATATAAACATATCTAGGCTAGTTTTCATGAAGATTAGCTTTAAATCAATATTGAAGATTGCTTCTTTTTACATCATAACAATACTTTTGTTTTGTCCTCACAGGAGCTGACAGGTGTACTGCCCTCAGACTATCCAATGATGCCAGATGAGAAGCCACCACGTGTTCGGAGGAGAATTGGTGCTTCATTCAAGCTGGATGAAGGTCTGATCCATCTAGATAAACAGGTACAAACCACCATCAGTGTTAAGTGTTAGTGGGAAGAGTAAGCAGAGGAAACTACAGCACATCAGCTGAGATGTAAGGTCAGAGTTTGTCTTTTTTTCATAGGACTCAGAGTTGCAAGCGCTAGAAACTGAATTGGCCCTTCAGCGGCAGATTTTTGAGGCGGCCCGCAAACTCTCGCAGGAGGAGAACCTCAGCAAGCCACAGAAGAAGGGCCGGCTGCAGCAGTGCAAGAGGGAGGAGAAGAAAGTGAAGGAACTGCAGCAGGCCGTGTTCCAGCATAGAATCAAGAGTGAGTGCAACTCACCAAGCGTCAGCAGCCAGAACAAAGGTGAGTGACTTTGCTGCCCCCTTCAGGCCAGGCTGTGCAACATGCAGTGCACTTAATGGAAATGTAAAATGTTTGGCGTTTGTGTGCAGATCTGTGCATGTCTGATGACAGCTCACTGTCCGATGTGGTGGCGCTGGATGATGGTGAGCTGAAAATACATTTCTACCTGTATGATTTTAAGGTTATCATGACATTCATTTAAATATGCAGTAGAAGAAAAGACAGCTCTGATAGAGCATGGTGTCACATTCAACATGCAAATCATTCTACATGTCTTTTTATGAAATTAATTGCGGGTCATGTGTAAAAACAAATATGGGTTTAAAATTCCAAAACTCACTTTAATAATGTGATTTAAATATTTTTTAAAATAATGAATACTCTACTGACTTGTTTTCATTTAGAAATAATTCTTTAATGTTCTCTCCAATCCTGTGTAGATGTGGACATATCCAGCCCCCTTTCACCTCCAGTGTTGGACGCTTCATATTCAGATCCCCTTCAGCTGTCAGCCCAGACTGTGCAGACATCGCACCAGTCCTCAAGCGAGCTCAGTGTGGAGCACGAGCCCGCTCCCATCCAGAATTCCCCTTGGAAGGAGTCCAGTCTGGACCATCCTTACCAAAAGGCCACCAAACCTCAGTCTGCCTGCAGCAGCAGGTCCAGGTGAGGACTGAAGAATGCTAACAACTAGTGAAATACACGATTATACTCCAAGCTAGATTGTACCTTATTTTACAGTTTACCATTTGATAGATGAACTTAGATGAAATCAGGTGTAATGTCAGCCTTCTTGTGCTGGATTAGCACATAGTAAAGCTTCCTTTTTCTGAATGTGTGCGATATCTCATGTCTCCTGTGTGCAGTAGCCCAGCAGCAGCCCAGGTGTCTGCAGAGAGCATCAGGATTCCTCTCACTCAGTTTGTCAAAAACTCTGCCCTGCGTCACAGCAGCTCCACCAGCGCCCCCTCCACCCCGGAGCTGTTCATACGCCGGCAGTACTCCCAGTCCTTCAGGTACACAGACAAGTTATGTCAGAGTCATTTGTATTATCAGAGGAATTAAAGACAATAATGCATGTATTAATGTTTCAAATTTTACACAATGTCCCTTCTCAGACTTCCAAAAAGAAAGCCATCTGACGTGGAGCGTTTCAGCTCAGAGAGCAGTCGAGGTCGAGCTAGGCTGCCCCAGCGACGCTGCGTGGCTGA